CGTTACATAATCGAAAAATTAAATAGACATACTATAAGAGCATAAAATATAATTTCAAATATTAATAGTATATTTTTATTAATCAAATCAACTAGTGATTAAATGTTTTATGAAGATCTCCAAAAATATAATTATGTACCTTTAAAAAATTTCGTTATAGCCGAAATAGTCCCAATTATGACTCCTTTAGCAAAACCGGTGCATAAACTATGCTGGCTACCGTAGTTGAACCTTTGACTATAGATATTGTTAACTGGACGGTTACTTATTGGGGAATTATATTACAGAATGGCAACATTGCCTACATTCCAAATGAATACTAAGCAATGACTAAAGAATACAAAGACAAATAGCAACCTAGACCAAACTGTGACCATTCTTCCAAACAGTGCCGTGGCACATATTTTTCTTAACATAGCCGCTTGAAGCGATATTTATATTTATGGTAAATGTTTTCACTACGCTTCTGGTGTTTCCTGTGGTATCATACTAATTAATTATGAAAAAAAACTTATTAAAATGTTAACAAAAAGTACAAAACTAGTATCGAGGTATAGCACATATCAAGTACATATAATATCAGAAAAATAATTATCGAATTCAATAAAAAAACGCTAAAAAGGTGTAGTGGACTGTTTATTTCCCTATAAAACGTAACTCCTAGATCTTTCTTATCATTGCGCCTTTTACACTTGAAAGCTGTTACTTAAAGCAAATTACCATTGTAATAAAGTTTATACAAAGAAGTTACAAGTTCACTACACACAAACTATTAAAAATCGCTAAAATTGTCGCTGATGATTGACCAGCTGATGATTCATTTGTTATGTCCAAAAAAATGGCGTCTAAAGGTCACAAATTTTGCTGCAGCCCGTATATGGCCGTTACATGTATCTGTATTCTTCAGTCATTGGTACCACAAATTGGTACTAAGCTAAGCTGCCCAGTCGTCCGGTCGCGTCGCGTCCGTCGACTCTCGACGAGCGAGCCGAGGTTGCCATATTTCGACCACAAAGCTCTTGCCGCGAGTAATAAAAAAATTAAATACCTGTATAACCCCTACGAGTTGAACTCATCTAAAAAGTTTTTAGGAATAATAAATTATAATACAAGTTAGACCTTCCTAAGATATCAAAATATTTACTTTTTTATGTTTATTCTTAGAATTTTCAAAAATTATATTCCTAACACTTTTAGAATAATTAAATAATACATTTTTTCGTATACTCGCTATTTAAACCCGTGTATTTTGTATATACTAGTTGTTTACAATATTCTCCGATTGTGGCAGCACCGGCGGAGAATACACCAAACCTATACATACCATAGCCTTACAAGAAGTTATACATAGATATTTAAAATTGTTATTAAGCCTTTTTCTCGAAACCCGCCAATCCAAAAACTATCAACAAATCTTACGAAAACCGCTCGACCGTGCACTCTTTAGCCTCTTATCCCAGATTCCTTCGCGGATCTGCTCGCACCCTTATCCGATAGCGTGAAAAAGGTGCCAAAGGAGCGCTTTATGCCTCTCTTCCCTCTTGCGCCGGCTCTCCGATTTGCATAGATATTTCGTGTTTTAAAATGTAAATGCGGCGCTCGTCGTCACGATAACATTAATCATGTTTTTAGAGACGCGCTCGTTCTGAAGATGCCAGAGGAAAAACGAAGGGAGGAAAGTGATATTAAAATATAAATGAATATTATTCTGAACGCCAATGATTTAGGTTATATTTATGGTGTATTATTTTCAGGCACTTCTGTGGTTTACTAGTTTTATACAAGGTGTCCTGAATTGAGCGAATCAAAATTTATAAAATCATTTTCAAACAAGGCGGGACCTTTGAGACGTTGAGTGTTAATAATTCTCTCACTAAACCAATTACCTACTTTACAAACGGACCCTCCCTTAAAGCCACAATATTCCAAAAACTCTCCTTTTGCGTTTAAAATACAAATATTAACCACTAACGCCATAAAAGCTCCGATCGCAACCGACTTCAAACGAAGATAAATCGAAAGCCATATCGAAGTTTGGAAGTGGGTGACTGGACTGATATTTTTCCAAAATTGGGCAGACTTTAAATTATTTTTGCTCTGATATAAGAAAGAGGCGGTTATAAAAAAGACCGGAAAAGAGTGAAATGGTAGAATTTTGATTAGAAAATGCAATATGGATGATGGAAAAAATCGATTCTTGCAACAGCTGACGATCTCGTAGGGAAAAGTTAGTCTACCAAAGTTTTATGAAGTTTTTAACTTCTGTGGGTACTCTATAGCTTACAGAAATATTACGATCAAGTGACTGAGTTAGCGAATGACCAATATATTCTTTGACTTAATAGGTATATAATTATATCATTTATCCATTGATGGTTGTTGGTTTGCTATTCAGTTAAATTAATTTTATTTTTTGACTGAACATGATATTTTTTTAACATTGATTATCAATTTTTGATACATTTCAGGAACAGAAAGGAGCAAGAGAGTCACTAGAATTGCTTTAAACAATTGAAATACATATACCGGGTGGTGCATCGTTTCGTTGGAAACATAAATAATCCCATGCAAATTTTGAACTTTCCAAATATTAAATCCTCTATTAATTTTACATCTAAGTCGTACATACATTTTTTAAAGGTCTACCTTGCAAATTTTGTTGATTTTACAGTAAAGTCGTTAATAGGTTTTTAAAGGTCTGCGTATGTTGAATACACATGCCAAATTTGAAGAATTTTCGATAAGCCGTTTTTAACTAATTTAAGAAAAACTGTATCTATTTTTAGCCGATCATACCAATAGGTATGGTAGGCTGTTAAGATCGACAAAAAAAAGTTTTTTTAATTTCACTCAAAATGAGTTATTTGGGTCATAAATGACCTAAATACAAAATATTTTCATGTTGTCTGTCTGTCTGTCTGTCTGTCTCTGTCCGTCTGTTCGTCTGTAACATGATAACTCAAAAACCGCTGAATCGATTTTAACCAAATTTGGCACAAAAATACTGTGGCACCCGAGAATCTGGCCATTAGTTTTTGGTGGGGGTGGGGGTTGGTAAGGGGGTACGAGAGGGGGTTAAAAATGTTAAAAAATCGTAACTCCAAAATTACAGTAGCTAGCGAAACGCGGTTTTCAAATTAAGATTAGGAATAATATTTGCAACAAAATTTGTAATAGCATCAAAATATGTCAAAGTCACAGTTTTCGAGATATTAACATATTTTAGTATGGGCGGCTATACGTGCCTCCGGGCGTCAATTTTTTTTAATTACAGTTGAGGGTTGCAAGCTTTGGTGTTACAGCAGCAAAATCAAACACTAAATCACCACAATACAGCAAAACACTTTTACTTTTGCTCTGGACGCGCGTTTCGCTAACCATGTTAGCATCATCAGCAGATGATTAAAACTCAAACAGCATGAAAGTTTTAATCATCTGCTGATGATGCTAACATGGTTAGCGAAACGCGCATCCAGTATAAAAGTAAAATTGTTTTGGTGTATTGTGGTGATTTGGTGTTTTATTTTGCCATTTATTTTAAATTAAAGTTGAACAATTATTGTAAATGTCAAATTGTCTTTCCTAAACGTTAGGCTTTTGCCTGTTTATAACAAGTTTTAAATTACAAAAATGAATTTTGGGCACACTAACCGTAGCTACTATAAGGTAGTAGCGTAAAGAGCACAACAAATTGACAAAATCAAAGGTTAACAAAAAAAATAAAGGTATGTTGGCATTTGTCTGGTTTTTCATTGTTCCTTTTTCAGTTTTAATTTAAAATAGATGCAGTTTTTCTTAATTTACTTAAAATCGGTCTGTCCAAAATTATTCAAAGTTGGTACCGTAAATTATTTAATGTGTACCCAGTCAAACATAGACCTTAAAAAATCCCATTTACGGCTTCGTTGTAAAATTAATAGGGGGACCCAATATTTGGACAGTTCAAAATTTGCATGGGATTTCCTATGTTTCCATCGACGCCGCACCATCCGGTATATAATGAACGTGAGAATACGTTTTTAGTAAAACTATACAGTATCTTCATACTTTCAGTGAAAGTAATATCTAAACTAGATGTAACAATAGTAGAACTTACTATTGTTTATTTTGACTGAAGTTTTGAGAAAATCTTGACAGAATTTGTTTCCAATTAAAGTAACCAGATTTTAAGAAAACTAATGACGGACTATTGACTAGCTAGTGATATGCGAATAATCTAATAAAATTAAAATTAAAAGAAAATAAAATCAATGAGTAACCATCGGAAACCCACCAACACTACAGAAGTAACAGGTTTCGAAGTTGAAGATCAATTCCTAAAATTCGGCTCTTTGATCTTAAATAAAAGAGGATGCAATGCAAAAATCAAAATAAGACAGTGTATTTGGCGTAATTCCATGACCAAATTTAACAAAATATGGAAAGATTTAGCCGTTTCGCTTACCAAGAAACTAGAGAATGTATAGGAGGGGGTTAATCACCGTGACATTACAGATCTATTGTTTTTCCCTTTTTTGAGTTATAACTCATCATCCAGTCCCAGGGCCCTGTCAAAAGCCAGTATCTGAGACAGCTCCACAGAGGCAAGCCCTCCATCTCCGACATCAGTCGTACCAAAGTTTATGGCAAGAATGGTTGTCATCATGGCGCGCGGCGAGCGGCGCACTCAGTGATAAGGTGTTCTGGTGTTTCCCCAAATTCTAAGATATTTTGGTCACATATCCACGAAAATTAATGGCCTAGAAAAACTAGTTGTGAAGCGAAAAGTAAACGGGAAACGTCTTAGAGGGATATCTCCAAACCGTCGGTCGCGTGGACTAAATAATGATAATGATAGCTCATAGTCTGCACGAGGCCAGTACTGCTGCGCAAGACAGAACAACATAGAGAAACACAGTAAATGCGATTACTTTATAATGTTCTAGCGCAAAGAAAAAATCGGCAAAAATTTGTAATTTTTTCTAAAGGTACTTTAATTAAATATATTTTGTGCTACTTACCGAATTTGGTGACCATGATGTCGAGGACGCGGGTGCTACCGTTTTATCTTTAATCTTTCCGCTGCTCGATTTTAACTTTTTCGGAGATGATTTAGATGACGATGGTGATGTTGCGATGACTTGGTTCTGTCTTTGGGTCTGTTCCATTATTTGATGTATAAGATCCAGTTGTTGCTTTGTGAGCCCGTCGTTGCTGCCTGTAGAATTCTAAAAAAGGAAGCCTCAAGTAAGTAGAATTTTATGATGTTACAACCCTTTTATGATATATTAAATAAAATAATATATTAAGGAAACTTAGTTAACTTCTTTTTATATTATGATGGATCCGAGGATGGACCTTATTTCAGGTTTTATTGTTTAAATGTTTGCAGGTTTAATGTTGTTTAGATATAAAAATCTTTATAGTTTTATACAGGGTGCTGTATTCCGGAAACTTCGGCAGCATATTCTGCAAATAAAAATAAGTAAAAAAGTTCGTGTAAATGTATGTCCTAAAATACTTAGTTTCGGAGATACTAAGGTAAGGGTGTAGAAGTTTTATTTTTATTTCGATTTTTTCCAAATAATTTCTGAAGTAACGTCAATATTTAGATGAAAATTGGTGTATGGGAGTTTTTTGACATGAGAAACTTGATTTTGATGTCAATATTACTCCTATTTGTTGGGGGCGCCACCTACATGCGTTTTAATTGTTTTGAAAAGTAAGAACTTTTCGTCCGTACCTGTATAAAACTACTGAGTGAAAAAATATACATTTCCGTGACTTTTTACATAAAAAATGTCTCTTGGTAAAAATCTCTACGAGCAACCGTTCTCAAGATATTGAGAAATGGAATAGTCAATACATGTCATTATTGACAAAAAATAAACATGTTGAGTAGATAGTTATTTGACTAAAATGATAAATTTAGGACTTTTCTTAGTTACTTCAGAAATTATTTGGAAAAAATCGAAATAAAAATGAAATTTCTACACCCTGTATCTCCGAAACGTAGCATTTTAGGACATACACTTATACAAACTTTTTAACATATTTTTATCTACAGAATATGCTGCCAAAGTTTTCGGAATACAGTGGGACCACCCTGCATTGTAACTGTAATGGGCTCTATTTCCTCTTAGTTCCTGAAATACAGGATGAAGTTGAAAATTTTGCTACGGTTATCATACCTTACTTATCAATAAGGTGAAAACTGACTCCAATAGAGTTTTTTACGTAGAATTCAGTGGCGTAACTAGATTTTCGTTGGGAGCTGTCATTCTTGAAATATAACCCAAGCTTATATTTTTTATAGGATATACCTTATAATATATGGGATACCGTGTATCTGTATTTGCCTGTGATGAGCTTTCTAAAAATATAATATATACTTGTTTTCATCAACATTTTTATTAAGATAGCACGATAAAAAGCAAACTATTATTTGGTAAAATTAAATTAAATAAAATAATGATACTCTTTCAAACTAGCTTAATTTATGTTAAAAAGTTAAATAATGCATAAAATGCAGCAATGCGATAAGTTATAAGATAACCGAGATACGAAGGGGGTTGAGCAATGCAACATTTTAAAATTCGCTTTGTATTTCAGGAACAGGTTTAGGACAAATCTGTATGTAAATCTTTAGTTTCATAAAAAGTAGCACAGTGATGTAAAAACCGCATCTTTCTACTTTCTATCGAGCAATCCTATAAAACACACAAAAATGACATCCTCTACACAAAAAAAATACATTCATTTCTGGCTATTTTAAAAAATGCATTTTATGAAAAATAGCAGCGCCCAGAGTGAGATTTTCAATTAATGATATTGTTATTGATAAATCTGGAATGCGATCGAGGCAAAAATGCCATTTCGAATTTCAATTACGTACAATATAATTAGGCCGGTGAACGATAGAATCTCGCAAATGCGACGCAGTAATTTTTGCTTGAATAAATCGACGGGTTATAAAAACCCCGCCCTCATTTCCCCACCGGTCCCCGGATTATTAGCGACGATGCAATTATGCGAAATTTCATCGGAACATCATAAATCCACCTCCGATATCGATCCGGTGCAGATAACAAAACATTTTCCGTAATTATTCATTCTATTGTGATGGTAAAAAAAGGGAAACGCGCAAAATCGGTAACCGTAGGTAGAGGTAAAAAAAGAATTTAATATAAATCTATAGAAATAACTGGCCATAGTTCACAATACGTAGCAATAGGAAATGGATAAAAGTTTTCAGTTTGGTTGGAAATGGACATCGATGATATTTCCTATATAATTTTTTATATAAAATGACAGCGAAATCAGTTAACAAACTTTTACCACCAATTATACTTAATCTTAAGCTTCATTCAGAACCTCGCAATTAGTGGAATAAATTAGTAGGTTCAATTAGCGTAGAAGTTTGTTCCTTTAATTTCAATGTAAGCATTCAGAATGTCAAAATTAGTAGCAGACATTTTCAATTAGTAGAAAAAGTTATCAAACTTTTAACTTTTCCACTATTTATACTTCAAAATTTAATTTTTTTTTGATTGTCTTTCGTCTAGAAAAATTGTGGTTAGAAATCAAAAGTTGCTTGTTTTATGACCTGAATATTAGGTTTTCCCTATGGATACAACTGACTAACGCAAGCTGTTGGTAGGATACTCTTCTAATTTTAATTGTGTTTTTAAAACATTTTGAATGCTTGTTTTAACCGCAAAGGTAGATTAAAAACAGCGAGGATAGGTTAAAAACATTATTTCTTCTCGCACGTTTTTTAATTGCTACTTCCATTTTTGAAAATTTTTGTATTCCTTGTTATAAGTTATTCGGGATTTAAATGGAAGTAATTTGGATATTATGGCGTTTGTCGCCTCAGCCTGAATATCTGTTGGTAATTTACTTATTTCGTTTTGAGCCATTTCTGGCTCCAATTCAATCAGCAATCGACACGAAAGAGAATTAAAAAATATTGACTCAAAACTGACAACTAAAGAGACAGCTTTATTTATTTATCAAATTACATAGAAACCAACGCCAACCCAGCACAATATTTTTTCTACTCGTAATAAATTCTTTGAAATAATAATTTCTGAATATTTTTTAAAACGTAACTCGTTATGGAAAAAAATTATTGTTTTATACACGACGATAAAATCGCATTATCGTCTCCCGAAATTAATTTCTTAAATCTTTTCGGTCAACGATAAAATACAATTTTATCGTCTTGTATAAAAAATAACTATAATAATCGTGATTAATTTATAATATTAACACTTTGCTAAGTGGGTATCATATACAGACCAATTATGATGAAATGCATAATTAATTCCTTCATGCATTTGTTTATATAAGTATTGCATTTGTTTACATGCTAAATATGCTACTATGGGAATTGTAAAATGTAAAAAAAGTATAAATTGAAATTGAAACCACTAATTTATTCCACTAATTCCGAGGTTCTGAATGAAGCTTTAGCCTTTGATTATCATCCATCAGGAGAAATTGTGGTCAGAAACATAAATTTTATTGTTTATTTGTTTTATAAACTAATTATTAGGCTTTCTCTATGGATACAACTGATAACTGACTACCGTAAGCTATTGCTACGATATTTTATTAATTCTAATCGTATTTTATAGACATTGTGAATGATCGTAAGCTCTAGTATAAAGTATAATTGAAACCACTAATTTATTCCACTAATTTCGAGTTTCTGAATGAAGCTTTAAAGTCATGTTTCTATTTAAAATAAATTATTAGGTCTAAAAAATCTACAGCAGGTAATAAATTCTAAAAAAAACAGCCATTAGGGACGTCTGAATGACGTGTAAAAACATAGTAATATTACATGTAATGGATGCAGAGACAGTCTTTCTAGTGGATGTCATCAAGAAACGTCACCAACTGATGTTATTTAGTAATATTTAAGTTTTATTAGTTTTTATTAGTATTCTTAAGTAGCATTTTTAGACACAAAATCGAACCAAATTCTCTGCTGAGAAACATTGCGAAACAGTTTCGTCACATTTTTGATGCATATGTTTGGTAACATAAATCTCTTTTTGTTTCGAAACATTTTACCAAAATATGGTTTCGCTAGATGAACTATAACAATAAATATCTTAATGTCACAACTTTTAAGAAACAGATCCACATTTACAGATTTCGTACCCGTTTTATGCCTGAACGTTTCCATAATTTATTTGATATTCTGTCAAATATGAGAACATAACCTTACTTTATTGTTTGGATTTTGTTCTGTAGTTTTTGCATTTAAGCAGTTAATTAAAAAAGCAGAATGAAGGATATATGGTGAGTACAAATACAGATATTTTTCTTATGCGATTTTATAATTATTTCTTATTATACGCATTACAGAGATGATTTGTTTTGGGAATAAATGTAATAACAGCTACTACCCATATCTAACAGGAGACCGAACTTTTACCAGAAAACGTTTTTTTTCTCTGTTTTCCACAATGGAATACATGTTTTTATGTTTTAATTATGTTATAACAGTGTTATAATAAGTAAATAAAACTGTTTTAATTATTTTCACCAGAAGTTTTGATTGGCGTTGTTGATAGGTGACTAGTTCGAGATTTCTATACAGATGTGCGAGAAAACATAAAAACAAAGATTTTGAGACAAAAAAAATTATGGCGGAGGTCAACATTGTTGATAGTTATTTGCCATTTTGAAATCCACACACAGACATAGACTATTTTAGTTTGGTATTTTGTTTCTTCTGTCGGGTTTCAGACCCGGTCGTTTAACGGTAGATAATATTTTCTGCATAACACAACTAAGTGAGAAAGTGTTAGCTATAGGTGGAGAGATACACATGATTTTTGTAGACCTAATCAAAGCGTATGATTCTATCCCAATAAAACAACTCTTTCACGTACTCGACCGGTTACCAATAAATATTACCCTAATAAAAGCAATAAAGGAAGTCTACAAGAACCCGCTAGCACGAGTTAAAATTGGAGCCGAACTCACAACATCATTTAATATAAGTAAGAGCCTCCGACAAGGATGTGGTCTATCTCCAATTGTATTCAATACTTACTCAGATGCAGCATTGGAACAATGGAGACGAAAATGTAGTGGAATGGGCATACCACTCGAAGATAAAACAATATATACCATTCACTACGCCGACGATCAAGTAATACTGGCCCGAGATGTCAAAAATTGGAAATTGGAAAAAAAATCAAAATTG